TATCCTTGGTTACCAGGAGGATGAATATTTTTCCATATTTATTAGTTGTAATCTTTATTTGAATTTTTATTTTATTTTATTTTGGCTATTGGTGTTGGTTTTACTTTTAAATTTTAACTGCTTAATTTTCTAGCTACAAAGCCAATTTAAGTGGCATGGTCATTAGTGAAGATAATATTTGTAAAGTTACCAATGGCGCAGTATTCTCTGTGGCTTTCCATCCATCGGAAACTAGAACGTTGGTGGCTGCTGGAGCCAAATTTGGGCAAATTGGACTTTGGGATTTGGTAAGTTGTTAAGTTTTAAATGTTAAAGTGTGAAGTAAATGGGAAGAAAATTGCCTACAGCCATGTGTTTATGAATATTCCTTGAGAATTTTGAATTTGGGGTTAGTTGCTTCTAAACTTTAGGAATCTGAAAGAATTTAAGGTTTTCTATAAAGTTTTAACATCCTTAGTTTGCATATCATTAGCTAACTGGGGATAGATTAACTGCTAGGAAACGTAAGTGTATCTGTAAAAAGGTCACACAAAGCCCTCACTTTCTTAATTCTGTTTAAAATATGCCCTCTAGTCTGGATTAAATATTTTCTGAATGATCTGCTAAGGTGATCCTAGTCATCTTTTGGTAATTCAGAAACATACTAATTTCCATTCATTGTGCATGTAATTGTGCATTAAGTGCTTTTAGGAATTACAGAATTGAGAGAAACCAAGTTAATGGTCTTTGAGTTTATTTTCTAATTCAAGAAGTAGAGCAAAGCCATGAAAAATGACCCAAGGACAATTAATGGAGGTGAGGAAACAATGATGACTTGAAGGTGATTTAGGTTAATAAAGTAAGAAGAGAAACAGGTCAAATCTTGGACAGCGTATCCTTTCCCTTATTGGGAGGTAGAAGGATTTCACCAAGAAAACAAGCAGAGAAGTGGTAAGAGTACCAGAGTAATGGGAAGTTGTAAAGGCCAAGAGATGAGAGTCTCAAGACAGGAAGCTGCCAGGGCCCGAACAAGCTAACACCAATTGTCCACCACCATTCTCCTGTCTTTCCTCCTGGCTGCAGACAAACCCTTAAAACTCTCTTTGTACAGAAGCTCAGAGGGCAAAAGAAAGGGCACCAGATGCAATGCCAAAGCGTCAAGATTTTATGTCAGAGCATTGATTATGGGCAGTCATTTAACCAACACGAAAATGAGAAATGGCAGGGGACCTGGTCAGGAGAACCCAGCATGCAAAAGATAGCAGAAAGAAAAACAGCTCATGAAAATGAAGGAATTCTTAGCAGTTGCTTTAGTTTAGAATGTCTGAAGGAAAGAAGTGTGTGCTTAGAATACTTTACCCAGCCAAAGATGTGGTTGTAATGTAAAGGCAATGAGTAGTATTTTCACTTGTGAAGAAAACTTAGGCCATTCAGGACTAAGGAACCTCTTGAAAAACTGCTTATAACTGATGGTGTCTGGCTATCTAAAGACAATGCGTCTGGGGTCTTAAAGGCTTGAAGATAAACAAGCGGCCATCTAGCTCAGAAGCAACAAAGCCCACATGGAAGACGCACACCAGCCTGTATGATCATGAGAGGCTGATGGGATCGGGTATCAGATCTCAAAGACCAAAACCAAAAGATCATAACAATGTGAATGGGGGAGAGGAGACCCAAGGCCCATCAGTAGTTAATTGGACATCCCCTGTCAGAAGGGCCACAAGGAAGAGACGAGGCAGTCAGGGTACAGTATAGCACTGAAGAAACACAACCTTCTTCTAGTTCTTTAATGCTTCCTCCTCCCCACCTGTAAGACCCCAATTCTACCTTTCAAATCTGGCTAGACCAGAACATGTACACTGGAATAGATATGAGCTCAGCACAGGGAATCCAGGACAGGTAAACTCCTCAGGACCAATAAGGGGAGTAGCAATACCAGGAGGGTAAGTGAAGGGGGCACCAATCAGAAAAATTGATGTATGGCCCCCCTCCCAGGGGGACGGACAACAGAAAAGTGTGTGAAGGGAGACAGTGGTTGATGTAAGACATGGAAAAAAATTTTTAATAAATTTCAAGGGTTCATCAGGGAGGGAGGGAAAAAATGAGCTGATAGCAAGGGCTCAAGTAGAAAGAAAATGTTTTGGAAAAGATGATAACAACATATACAGATGTGTTCGACACAATGGATATATGTATGGATTGTGATAAAAGCTATAAGAGCCCCCAATAAAATAAAATTTTAAAAAAGAAAAGCTGCTTAACAGCAAATACCAGCTAATGAAGAAGTGTAACACGAATCGATGAGCATTGACTCCATAATATTAAGACATGGATTACAGTTACAGAACTGAGTGTGAATATTATCAACCTGGACAACATTTTTAAAAATTAGTAAAATGTGGAGATGATGAGACGTGTAAGAGTAATTTCTCAAGCAATAGGAATTACCTTAACTACCGGTAGTTAAAAATAATTAGAAAGCACAATGACTACACCACTTAGTTGTTTGTTTTTACACTTTTTCCATTTTTTAGTCAATTTTTTTGCATGTGAAGAAATACAAGGTTTAGAAGTTAACTCACTGATTTCTCTTTTATAATACTGTGAAGTATAGTTAAAATCAGTACTGTTAAAGTGACATAATGCATGGTCTACTTTTTTCTGAATTTTGGTTTTTTGCCTTTAAGTTTTTAACAAGTTTGGCATATAATTCAGAAACCATACATTCAGTAGTTCAATCGTAACAAGAAGAGTTGTACAATCGTACTTTTTTCTGAATGGTTTCTATCTTCCTCTCATTTCATCTATATAGACTCATGCAGATATCTGCAGTGACCGCTCTTTCAACGATAATGTTGGCTTTGGGGTGATGTTTTAAACACTTAAAACACTTTATTCTTTGTGTAATCTGCATTGTTTAAATCCTTATTAACATAGGAGAGAGGGTTATTTTTTCCTAGAAGCAAATATGCCAAGATGAAACAGTGGCTAGCCCTGGGTCAGAGGAGAACTGTATAGTATTATAATTTTGTCCTATCTTTATTTTCTTCCCTCCTTTTAAATATCTTTTCTTTATTTAAAATTTTTTAATTAAAAAAATTTAAATTAAAAAGAGCCTCCAAATTCTTGAGTATTGCAGAACAGCCTTAAAGCACGTTTGGAAGTAATAGTTGCTCTAGCTTATATGACATGACATAGAAATACAGTAAGGGCTTCACAAAGTTTGTGGAAAAATTAGAATTAAAGAAGGAATTTTTGAAGCTCCCTTAAAGCTTGTTCATATCTGAAAATTACTTTTTATAAGTTGTTATACCAGTTGTAGAAAAGGATAATCTTAAAAATGTGATGTTAATTCAAATAATTGGTTAAGTAAAAATGCATGCATTTTTAAGGTCTATTTTCTTTGTTTTGTTTTTGTTTTAAATCATTAAGGGCACATACAACTCATCACAATCCATACATACATCAATTGTATAAAGCACATTTGTACCTTCATTACCCTCATCATTCTCAAAACATTCGCTCTCCACTTAAGCCCCTGGCATCAGCTCTTCATTTTTCCCCCTCCCTCCCCGCTCCCTCCTCCCTCATGAGCCCTTGATAATTTATAAATCATTTTGTCATGTCTTACACTGTCCGACATCTCCCTTCACCTACTTTTCTGTTGTCCGTCCCCCAGGGAGGAGGTTATATGTAGATCCTTGTAATCAGTTCCCCCTTTTCACCTCATCTTTCCTCCACCCTCCCGGTATCACCACTCTCACCACTGGTCCTGAAGGGATCATCTGCCCAGGATTCCCGGTGTTTCCAGTTCCTGTCTGTACCAGTGTACATCCTCTGGTCTAGCCAGATTTGTAAGGTAGACTTGGGATCATGATAGTGGGTGGGGAGGAGGCATTTAAGAGCTAGAGGAAAGTTGTATGTTTCATCGTTGCTACATCGCACCCTGACTGCCTCATCTCCTCCCCAGACCATTCTGTAAGGGGATGTCCAATTGCCTACAGATGGGCTTTGGGTCTCCACTCTCACTCCCTCTTTCACAATGATATGATTTTTGGTGTCTTGGTGTTTTGGTGTTTGCCTTCGACAGACACCTCGTGATCACACAGGCTGGTGTGCTTCTTCCATGTGGGGCTTTGTTGCTTCGGAGCTAGATGGCCGCTTGTTTACCTTTAAGGTCTATTTTGAGGACAAAATATTAACCATTTTGTGCTGGAGCCCACCCACCACCTTATAAAAATTCTGAGAGCATTATGCTAGTAATGCTCTATGGAAGTATCCTTAGGAAGCAGAGTGATCTGGTACTGATTACATTGTCTCTGGCTGTAAGGGATTATACTGAGTAGATTTCTCATTGCCTGAGGATATCATGAAGTTAACAGTTCAAGTGAACATTTTTTCCTCTGGGTTATAAAAAAAACTAGTGTGTTGGTTAAATAACTGGCAACTGCTAAGTATGTGACTAAGTATCATTGGCTTTGAAAACTAGTGAAAAATAATTTAGTGACTTTAAAATGTTTAGGCCTGACTTTCTGAAAATGAGGGTGTATGCAATTAAAAGACTGGGAAGAGGCAGTATAATCCAGATGTAATGGTTTAATGACCTAATGACAGTAAATATCACGACTTTTCACCATTTTTTGTCTCCTACCCAAACTGTTCCAGAGCCAACAACCTAAAGAAGATGGTGTGTATGTTTTCCAGCCCCATAGTCGGCCAGTTAGCTGTCTGTACTTTTCCCCGGCCAACCCAGCCCACCTCCTGTCACTGAGTTATGACGGCACAGTGCGCTGTGGAGATTTCTCCACTGCTGTGTTTGACGAGGTAAATGTGAATATGATTATGTTCTGGTTTCAAATGGTTCTTTTTGAAATTGTTACTGATTCTTAATTTTAAGGACACAATTGCTTATTTTATCAGTCAGATGGGGAGGGGGGTATGGTGTAACGATGCTACTTTAGGACTTCTCTGTCTAAGTTCAGATCCCAGGCCATCAGTTACTATTTTGTGTGAGTTTGCCTCATTACTTAGTCTCGTTATGCCACAATATCCATAGATGGTTGTGAGGGTTGAATGAGTTAATGCAGATTAAGTGCTTTGAACTGTCTGGCACGTGCTAAGTATTGGTTCTTACTATGATTATATTTGCAAAGTGGTGAAGTACAGTACTGTTTTTTAGGCTGAAGACTTGGTATTTTTATTTCATTCAGGAAAAAAAAGGATTAGAATATTGCTATAATCGTGTTCACCATTCCTGGGCTTTGCAGACTTGAGTCCACAGCTTGAAAAAAAGACACCAAAGAAATTCTTCACCTAATGGTTCTGTGTTGTTGTCGGGTGCTGTAGCTGGCTGCTGGCGACCTGCCGCACAGCAGAATAAAGCACTGCCCGGGCAGTGCTCCCACACAGTTCTTCCTGTGCAGCCAGCCACCGTGTCAGCCCATCTCTTTGAGGGCCTTCCTCTTATTGTTGGTAAAGTGGCAGCAAGGGGCAGTGAAAAAGGAGGTTCTGTATTACATATGTCTAAAACTTTGGCTTGCAACATAACACAGAAAGTGTATTTTGGTTTTCTGTAATCTTTCAACTAAGACATCTTTTTTTTAATCATTTTATTAGGGGTCATACAACTCTTATCACAATCCATACATACATCAATTGTGTAAAGCACATTTGTACATTCCTTGCCCCAACTAAGACATCTTATGTAAGTCATTATATGCCATAAGAGATGCACTCAACTTTTTATCTGGGGAGTTTAGAATGAAAAAACTGCTATATAATTATACCCAGGCAAAGAATGACCACGTAAGAAGACTTCAGGCCAAGTTTGTTTGTAACTACTTCTTGAGGATAGGCCTTCTCCTTTGCTGGTCTAACTCTGGGAAACTGAAGTCAGTTCAAGTCTGTTAAGAACTGTTGAAAGATCTTTGGCATACACTACCCTTCCTTCTACCTAGATCATAGACAGCTCGTTGGAGCTTTTCTCATCAATTTGGTCTGTGGTGGAGCAGGACAGACACTTCAAATACTGGAGACCCCTTCACTGTATTGGACTCGTTAATGCTTACAGTGAACAGGCCATTTGGTTGAGCTTTCAGATTTGTATAATCACATTAGATTTCCTTAAGAGAATTCTTTCAAACTTTTTTCTTTTTCAGTATGAATTTAATCTTTGAAATTTAGGAGGGTCAAGGTGTATGTTTTTATTCTTCATTTTCACTGAAAAATTTTTAGAGGACCTCAGTGTAAGGAAAATGTATATGTGATTAAGTAGTGAAGAGGACACTTACCACTGAGATTGCTTTGTAAGGACTACTAATTGATGACCTAATTTTATGCTTTAAGTTGTTATCAAAACTTGCACTCAAAAAGAACACATTCGAAAAACAAAAGAACGGCGGCCGGAGCGGACTTTCCTCCCCCTCCTCTCTGGACGCACTGCTCTCGACCCTGGCCTCAGCGCCAGTAGCCGCCAGACCATGTTGACCATGGAGAAACACCTGTTTAACTTCAAGTTTGCGACCAAAGAACTGAGCCGGGGTGCCAAGAAATGTGACAAGGAGGAGAAGGCCAAGATCAAGAAGTCCATTCAACAGGGCAACATGGGAGTGGCAAGGATACATGTGGAAAATGCCATCCACCAGAAGAACCAGGGCGTGAATTTCCTGAGAATGAGTGCGCGGGTCGATGCGGTGGCCGCCCAAGTCCAGATGGCGGTGATGATGGGCAAGGTGACCAAGTCGATGGCGGGTGTGGCGAAGTCGGACGCTACGTTGAAAACCATGAACCTGGAGAAGATCCTCTGCCCTGATGGACAAATTCGAGCACCAGTTTGAGACGCTGGACGTCCAGTCGCAGCAAATGATGAGCAGCACGACGCTGACCACTCCCCAGAACCAAGTGGACATGGTGCTGCAGTAGATGGCCGACGAGGCTGGCCTCAACCTCAACATGGAGCTGCTGCCTCAGGGCCAGACGGGCACTGTGGGCACGAGCATGGCTTCGGCCGAGCAGGACGAGCTCTCCCAGCGGCTGGCCGCCCTGCAGGACCAGGTGTGGTTCTGGAGCCGCTCAGCCCACGCCTGGTTCAGGGCCACTGCCGCAGCCTGCGAAGCTCTCTTCCAAGAGATGCCTGCCAACCAGATTCTGGATCCACCGGGGTGCGGAGATGCCCCTTATTTAATTCGCGTCCATCTTGGGGCTCACAGCCATCTCTAAAATTCCAGGCTTTCTTTGCTCTTGTCTGAATTTTATAGCTCCATATCGCTTGTGATGATGTGTGTTTTTATAGCTGCCTTTGACAGAACTACTACTTCGTTTGGGGTCTCTAGATCTAAGCAATTGGTCAGCGCGCGTTTCCGTGTCCTGCGCTGTGTGCCCAGAATTATCCAGTCCAAGGTCTGTGTCTTTTTTTCATGTTAGTTGATACTGATTAACAGGCGGTGCATAAAAATGTAGAGGGAGGGAGATTACTTATTTTGATTACATGGCTATGAACTCTAAAACGCTTCATACTTAGATAGTTCTGTTTTTCTGTGTGTTTTGTTTGTTTTGCCACCAAAGTGAGACTACAGTTTGGCTTCTTACATTTTTACTAAAATGACCTTAACACATTTTTGAACAGTACTCTCACTGTTTACATTCTGTAAATTTGTTTCCATGCAATAAAAAGCTAGGCGGGTTAGTTGTACATACCTAGAAATAAAAATGCCACATAGCCTCAGTGCATTTTTGCTATCTTATATTTTCTGTTTAGCAAATCGTGGTTTTGAAATATACTTGATATTTCTTCCACATGAGCTTAACATTTGTTATTTCAAATGAGCTACGTATTTTGAGTTATTTTCCTATTTCAATCTGGCTAAATTAGATTTCTGATAATTACCATGTTCAGTCATGTTACTTGCTCTAATATTGCCAAAGAACTGTTGCTTGGTTGGGGAAAATCCTGGGACTGTTTGTTTTTTGTTTTGTTTCTAACAACCAAAAATAGAAATAAAATTAAAACTGTAAAAAAAAAACACGCTGATGTGTTTGCAATTATTTGAAATATTCTGCTTCATAACTAATTTTTTAAAAGTTTACCAATAATTATCTTAATTTTGGTATAGTATATAACTGTTCGTGTTCTTCACTGAATTCCTAGATGATCTTGTTTATAACTGGAGGTTTTTGCTTCCTGCTGAGAGTTAGTTTTTGATTTTTAAGAGAGGCTTATGTGAGGTCTGTTTTTAAGCAGCCCTGGTGCAGTGGTTAAAGCAAGCACTCCACTGCTAACTGAAATGCTGGTAGTTTGAACCCACTAGCTGCTGTTTACCCATGTGTTACTGATCAGACTGACTTGATGTAATTACTGAAAAGTAGAGGAAACAAAGATAGTTATGAATCGTTAGCTGGTAAAACTGGCTATTAATGCACCACCTTGTACTTGGCACTTACAATATAAAGGTATAGTGGTATGAAGAAAACTAAACCAAAGAAAAACCCTTATGTTGTGACTCTTTAGCCAACCCCTAACCCTTATTTCTGGAGTTCAGATAAATAGAATGATGGATATGTAGCCTTTTGTGCCTGACTTGTTTGAACTAGCTTAATGTTTCGAAGATTCATCCGTGTTGTTATTTATCCCAGAATATTTGTTCTTGGTATCACTTGTTGAACAGTAGCCTTGTGCAGGGCACTATACTGAGTGCTTTATATACATTATTAAGCCTTATAACACTACAAAATAGATGTTTACCCTCCTGTAACTGTTGAAAATACTGAGGCAAAGAGAGGTTTATGAATTTGTTTATGGACATAAGTGGCAGAACTAGAATTTGTGAGTCTGTATGGCTCAGAACCCATGTTCCTAGTCACTAATCTACAGACTGGATATCTCAAGTTTTGTTTGTGTATTTGGGATATTTTGGGTGTGATACCTGTGCTGTATTAATCTGTTTATACTAATACTTATTTTTAAAGTGAAGAATCAGCTGCAATTCATGATTCAATAATATGAATGGTGTTATTTTCTCCTACCTGGTGCAAGTATTTATATTTTGATCATTATGCTAGGGGGCTTCAAAAAGTTCATGGAGATATTCCATTATTCTACAAACTTGTTGAAGCCCCTTGTACATGCTCATGAGAAAATATTTGAAATACAGAGAGTATGCTTAGTCAGTCTGCCTTCCCCATTTCCACTCTAGGGGTAAACGGTTGTGGTAGTTCTTGAGTCTGTCTCCAGAAAGTGACTCTATACGTACAAAGCATGTAGATACTTAGTTTCCCCTTCCTTTGGTTCATAGTGATGGCTTCATATTATAACCACTCTCTTGCAGCTTGCTTCTTTTCTCTCCTAGGTAGTCTACCTTGGACAGGCAATAATACAAGTCTATCTCATTACTGTTAGCATTGTGTAGACTTTCAGAATAGATACATGTAATCATGCCAGTTATTTGACCAGGTGGTTTTTGGTCGACATGTAGGTTGTTTGCTGCTATTGGAGCAGTCTTGGTGTAGACATCCTTGCATACATCTTAGTGAAATTATTAAAATCAAGAGTATAAGTATGATCTGTTTCAATAGGTGTAACCTAAGTAGCCATCAAAATGTAAATTTACACTCAGCCTTCTTTTCTGTATTTTATTGGTGATGTTTCTTGACATAGTTAATATACAATTTCAAGTTTGTAAAATTTAGATTTAATTCACGGTCTTGTAAGTTTCACAGGAAGATCTGGAACAGAGGTTTTTTGCTTTATAAGAAATTCAGGATTTAGCCCCGATGTAGGACCATGTGCCATTGAATGTAAGCAAGTTCCACAGTTGACAAAATGCCTTTGTTTCTAACAGGGGTTGTCTTGTCCTGTGTTTTTTGTATGGGAATGATGGAAAGATAAAAGGTCACTTGTGTACATGGTTTATAACTCCTTTACTAAAGAATTTATGCTTTAGCATTCTTTAAGACTATTGCAAACAGATTTTTAAATTATCAGCAAATTAATGCTGTATTAATACAAATAAGCTCAATTGTTACTTTTGTCCTTAGGTCTATAGAAATGAAAGCAGTGCCTTTTCTTCCTTTGACTTCTTGGCAGAAGATGCCTGCACTTTAGTCGTGGGCCACTGGGATGGCCAGGTGTCCATAGTGGATAGACGAACACCCAGAACATCTCCTGAGAAATTGATCCAGTTTTCTTTGGAAAAAATAAGAACCGTTCATGTCCATCCAGTGCATAGACAGTATTTTGTTACTGCAGGATCAAGGTATGATTTTGACCCTTTAATGCCAGGAATACATTTTTACCTTGGTTGTCAAAGACATCTGGCTTTTGTGATGCTTAAGGGGTAAATTATTGTTTTATCCACTGAGTGAGAGATTTATTGTTTTTAGTGTGTGTGGTCACCTGAATAGTCACCTATTTCATTTAGATTTTCACCTTTTCAAATTTCAACGAGAGGCTGAATACAAGCACTAGTTTACTTCAAAGGAATTAGGATCACTCAGATTTACTCCCAGTAAATAGGCAACCTTTACACAAAGCTCCTTCATTTAAAAGGGAAAATGAGAGGAATTATTGAGAGGTTAAAGATGGGTAAATGTAACAGTGGGGTAGGGTGGGGGATATATGTGTATATATATATATTTGTTTAAATATGTATATGTATGCTTATGTAACAAGGAGGCAGATGGACTTTGGGCTTCTACTTAAATCTTGCCCCAGCACAAGAATGGTTTGTTCTGCTAATGTGGCATTAAGTGATACCTTTCTGACATGATTGCTGAAGTCAAAATGGGTGCATAAGCAAATGTGAAGAAAGCTGAGGTGCCTGGCTATCGAAAGATACAGCATCTGGGGTCTTAAAGATTTGTAATTAAACACTCGGCCTGCTATCAGGGAAGCAACAAAGCCCACATGGAAGAAGCACACCAGCCTGTGTGATCATGAGGTGTCAACGGGAAGAGGTTATCAGAAGTTGAAAAACATATAACCAAATCGGTGTGAAGGGTTGTGGATGCAATAGAGATCCCAAGTCCACCCACAAGATAATTGGACAGTCCGTCTCAGAAGGGCCACAGGGGAGCTAATGATAAATCCAGGGTGCGGTATGGCACTGATGAACCACATAACTATCCTCTAGTTCTTTAAGATTTCCTCCCCTTATTGCTACGGGCTTTATGTGTTTTACCTCATTAGTCGTGTTAGATTTGTATATGTTCATTAGTATATTTAAGAACACCCAGTACATGGAAGTCAAGATAGATGACCCCTCAGAGTCGATGACAGGAGTAATGGTTCCCTGAGGGTCCTGAAAGAGAGGGAGCCAGGGGGGAAAGGGAGCTGATAGCATTGATGATTGTATAACCCCACCCGATGGGATTGAACGGCAGAATTGTATGTGAATGGATATATTGAATTGTGTAAGATAAGTCAATAAAAATAGTATTAAAAAAAATAAAAGGGAAAAGGAGGGCAAACAACTATATAGTAGTCTTTCCTATGTTCTATGTTCATTCCATAAAATGCTCTGTAAGATGATGTGGAAGAAACCTGCATTTCTGCACAACTGAAAGGGAGTTTTTAAAAAACATGATTTTCATAAAAAGGGGATTCTCTTAGGTTTAATAGTAAAATTATTGAAACAGATACATACACACTTGTTTTCCTTGGTGTCATTTACATTTAATTTTTAGTCTTTAAGGAAGAAAAATAAATTATGTGGCCTATAGCTTGTTGGTTGGTCTGTGTTAACTTTATTTTAGAGAGACTGGAAAACCAACTAGAAAAGTTACCCCTCTATCCACTGGTTACAGACCGCTGTTATAGTTTTGGGATTTTCCTAATGCTCTATTTTTTTCTTTGTCGGTGTTCACAAAATTAATACAGACAATGAGAGGGTTCTATCTTAAATGTTCTCCAGTGTAGCAAGTAATTGAATGTCTCTAACTTATGTTTAGCCCTACTCTAGAGGGCATCTCTATGTCTTATGGCAAAACATAATTATCCTTCCCATTACAGGGATGTACATATTTATGATGTAAGAAACCTGACTCCCACGGGAAGCCAGCCTTTGATTTCTTTGACTCAACATACAAGGAGCCTCGCCTCTGCCTATTTTTCACCTATAACTGGTAACAGAATGCTGACCACGTGTGCTGACTCTTATCTGAGGTAAATTTGGAAGGCAGAAGTATGTATTATGGAATCTAGCTAGCTATTGTGTCAGTAAGCCAGAAGCTTGGTATATTGCTCCTAGTTTAGTCACTAGTGTTATTGTTTAGCCTATCAAAGACCCAGGACCTAGTTTGCAGGTGCCAAGAAATTGCCTGGCAAGGAAGGTCAATAGCCTTGAGGAATTGATGTCAAACTTTCCCTTTAGCATTGAAGGATTCAAGAAGTCCCACCGAGACCAGACCAGGTGTGTGGTATTTCAGAAGGGAGATCATTTTAACATGAGCAGTTTGTTCAGTGGGGTCTACTCCACCAGTGCAGTGCCCAATGAGAGTTGCAGTGCCCATTAACTGTACTGTGGGCAGGCGTGAGGATGGCACCTAATTTCTACATAGATCCGACTCAGGAAAAACATGGTCTGCAGAGTAAAGCAGGCGCCTAGTTGTTAGATGCCATTGAGTCAGCTGCAACTCATAATGACTCTGAGTATGTATAACATAACAAAGCGCCACCTGTTAGGCCTCCTTCTCGGAATTGTCGCTGTGTTTGAGCCTGTTGCAGCCACTGTCACTCCTTTTCATTGAGGGTCTTCGTTGTGGATTGGGTGAAGATTTACAGAACAGATCATCAGTTCCATGTTCCAGAATGCACGCACATTTTGTTTCTTGTTATTCATCGCTGACCCCTCAGTGGAATAAGTATTATTCATTCCACCTCGTCCCTGTTTCCCACCTCTACTCCTCTTTATCTCCTAATCCTCTTGAACTTTGTCAGGTGACTTATTACGGTGGGTGTACTTCTTGTGCTATTTTACTCATTGACCTTACAGACCTGCTGGTTGTTTGGCTGAGATTGGGCCACAGGGGTAGTAGGGTCTTCCTCTTTTTCATTGACCCTCTGCCAGCATGATATTCCTCTCCAGGGACTGATCGCACCTGATAAAATGCCCAACGTGCAGGAGATGAAGTCTCACCATCGTCACTTCTAAGGAATATTCTGGCTATACTTTTTTCAGGACTTGTTTTTCTGTGGCATATTCTGAAAATAAGACAGTGTCATATTAATTTTTGATCCCGAAGATGCGCTAGGTCTTATTTTCAGGGGATGTCTTATTTTTCCATGAAGAAGAGTACGGTACACATTTATTGTTGAACCCCCGAAAAAGGAAATTTATTACCTGTATACAGTACGGTAGTAGTTGTCATCACAAACCAGCATAACCAGACAAACTGAATCCTACAGTATCAAGAATTTGTTACTACCATTATTTCCATGCACAACCATCTGTGGTACATTTACTCATTTATTCAGTGACAGTCATGTCATCTTCTGGGACATCATATTAACAATCTAAACCCTTATTTTCAGGGAGGTCTTATTTTCGGGGGGATGCCTTATGTTTCAGCGAGAGGCAAAACTAAGTAGTTCTTATTTTCGGGGGATGTCTTACTTCCGGGGAAACAGGGTACATAATTTATAGGCATCAAAATTCTTTGGTCTTATTCTTTGTCCAGCTTTTTCATGCATCTGAGGCATTTGAAATGCCCCGTCTCAGGTCAGGCCCTCCTTAGATCCCAAAGTGACGTCTTTGCTCTTTGGCACTTTGAAGGGGAGATTTCCCCAATATAACGACATTGATTCATTTCTTTTTTTTTTTT